TTCGGGGAAAAACTCAATAAAGTTTTCATTATTATTATTATTATTATTATTATTACCATTAATATTATATTATGAAAAAATATTTGAAATGCACGTAAGTGTAAAAAATACTTTGCTATTCTTTGTTTGTTATTGCATAGATAAAGTTTACAAATACCGAGACTTGATAGACTGATGAAGAACGTATATTCAGCAGCTATTACCTGTTCTTTTGGCTCTCCAGTTTCGTTCAGTGTATCCCCCAAAGATATAGTCTTCGTTACTTTTAATCACCACCATTGTCGCACCTAAAAACGAGTCGCATTTTGAGTGAAACGCTGAAGCACTCCATCCATCTCTCGTTGCGCGATACAACAAAGTACATCCAGTGAACACTCTTCCGTTACCATGAACATCTGTGAGCCAGCGACGTTGATTACGAGACAAAATCACCGAGTCACTGTAAGGTTCTGGATCCAGCTCATCGACAATACCTTGAATCTGGTAGAATTTCGCCTCTTCAAGAACTTCTCTTTTCACAAGTTCGTCATTTGGTAGCAAGAGTTTCCCCGTCCTCAAGTAGTTCAGAATGTAACGGAAGCACGTTCCATCTCGATCGATGAAGTAACTACCGTCTTCTGCTGGTTTAGTATCGAAACGACCAGAGAACATGGCATGTAGCATTGATCCAGCATCTTTGGTTAGTGTCTGGAGACTTGTAGTAAAGATTTGACCGCCAACATTCAGTTTAACAGTTGAAGAGAAGTGGACATGCTTTAGTTTCTTGGCCACCGAGTCAAACGCTTCCTTTTCTTGTTGAATTCGATGGGCTTCATGCTCCAACATCAGTTGTACTTTCTGAACATGATAACAAACAACCTCAAAGGTATTTTCGCCAGAAACGACGGTTTCTTCTTCATTCGAATTACCAGACATCATCATAGCACAAGGCTAGTGAAATGGAAGCGTCTAAACTGAACTCTTTTTCCACAGCCACGTGGGATAGTATATTTTTCCCTAGGAAAATGGAGACAGTCTATGTCCGCTGTCAGTTGTTCCGTGACATTACTTTCTGAACCGCGTTTGATTGGATGAGGCCTTCAGGAAATTCATGGGGTTTACTTTTAAAATTAAGTTAAAAATCCCTGTATTTTTCTGGGGAAAACGGTGAAAAAGTGATTGGAAACTACTAAAAATCAAGTCAACAAATATTTTTTTATTCAACCTTCTAATATAAAATTGTTCAATAACATCAATTAATCGGTCTTCTTTACTACTACAATTCAATCTTAATTGCATGCAAAATAGTCGGTATTGAAGGGTCGTTGTGCATGGACGTGCCACTGACTGATTTAACATGCAGAGATAATCCAGTAAAGGGAGCAATAATTATAAATCTAGACGAAAGAATGGCGAAAAAATGAGTGGCCTTAATTTTTTCCAATTCACTTGACTTTAAGGGCCATAGGCTACAGAAGTAAGTTATTCAAAGGGGACTAAAATTTTGATTGACAATTTTCCCGATTTTGTAGTTCCCATCCCCAGAGAAATGTGAGACAAGTCAGTTCCTGAAACAAAGAGAAATGTTGAAGGAATAAGATGGCAAACTAAAACTTCTTCTCTGATCTCCATTTAGTACAATCAGTACACTGCCAAAATTTACCTACAATTATTTCAACGAAAAAAACTGTTACATTTAGCAATTTACTTCTTGAAAATGGTTGGKTTTATCCCAGCATTACATGTTCGAAMACTTCTATTTCAYTCACAGTAAAATTYTGACTTCCAGTTAGAAATGTCGTCGCAGATTGCCCTRCAGGACWWTCATATGTTRTACCAAGGGWATATAYACAAYTATTGGCGTTTGGGTTGTTTACAATACGTAGGTCATKCCCTCCTCCAAATGTTGGCCCAYAGCYGCTGWTACAAWATATSGCATTGRTCATGTTCTCCTTGACYTCCATYTTGGTTGGCAAACCYGCAGGATTTACCAGGCTAAACAGAAAAGCTGCATCATCTCTTTTGTATGTATTTGTGCCTAGAACGGATAAAAGGTAAAACTAAGAAGATATATAAGGTTGTCATAAGAAATTTTATCCTTTGAATTAACATTAAAAAAACTAATGGGAATTCAAAACCTGGGGAAAATCATCTTCTGCCTGCTGAAACTCATTAAGAATTCACAAGCGAAATAGGTTTTTAGGGGGAGAGGTGGCCAGGGTATTTTTACCCTCCTGTGCCCTTTACCTGACCTCAATCATGTCAATAATTTCGTGACCATCTCTATTGATGACTCTTACAACTCCAGTGTATGCAGGCTTAGCGCTCACTTCTGAGGTCGGCAAACAAAAGCAGAAATTAGAATGACAAAACAAGCAACTCCTGGATTCGAGGCTAAACCCGCATAGGCTGGAGTTTTAAGAGTCCTAAATAATCAAACTGCCTTTAATAAAGCATGAGTTCCTAACAAAACACAGGTATGGCCATTTACAAAAAAAAAAGTTACTTGTGACCCCTCCCTTCTCCAACCCACCTACCCAATAAAAATGTACCTACACAATAGTCCCTTTAAAATTTCTATCTTGAAAGTTAGCCGTGACTTTGCATCGAAGCGAGACGAACAGTGAGCTTGCAATGATAGAGACCTTTCAACACCTTGGACAGTTATTCAAATGTCTCTATCCTTGCAAGTTCACCGTTCGTCTCGCTTCGATGCAAAGGCCCGGCTATTTTTCAAGATGGCGCAGGGAACTGTGAAGGGGACTATTTCATAATACTATATCTAGTATGCCTACTTACTATCCCAGGATTCTTCAGTATACCCTCCAAATATGTAATTGCCAGATTTCACCACCACAAGCGTAGGACCTTTATTGTCACAGCAAGAATGGAAATTGCTGCTAGCCCAGCCGTTTTTAGAAGCACGGTACAGAAGATTATATTCATCGTATGATGTATCGACAGCTTTTTCTAACCAATCGCGCCATTCCTGCGAGAGAATCACTGACTCACTGTACGGTTTTGGCTCAAGTTTGTCAACGATGCCTTGGATTTGGTAAAACCTTGCTTCTTCCAACACCTCCTTTTTCAAAACTTTGTCTTCTGGTAGTATTAGCTTCCCCGTCCTCAAGTARTTCAGAATGTAACGAAAGCACGTGCCATCTCGATCGATGAAGTAACTACCGTCTTCTGCTGGTTTGGTATCAAAACGACCAGAGAACATGGCATTAAGCATTGACCCCGCATCTTTTTTAAGTGTCTCCAGACTTGTAGTAAAGATTTGACCGCCAACATTMAGTTTTACAGTCGAAGAGAAGTGGACATGCTTCAGCTTCTTGGCCACTGATTCGAAAGCTTCCTTTTCTTGTTYAACACGAAGAGATTCACTCTCTAAAATGCTTTGAACTTTCTCCATGTAATAATGTGCTTTTTGAAAGGCTTCATCTACTTCCAGCACTTCTTTTTCTTCTTCAGATTCTGAATGAGAAGACATGTTTGCAACTGGACAAATAGGTAACTGCCTTCTTCGCATAGATCAGCGAGTGCCCTACAAAAATCCGTGGCTTTCTCGTCTGGATGCTTTGAAGGATTGCGCTCGAAATCTGCTGACAATAAGTAATGCAACCAAAAGTTTCCCGCCTTTTAACACGTGATATCACTCGTCACCCATCAAGAGTCAAAAACAAGGAGACAACTTTTCTTTTGCTTATGTTTTAATGCTATTCGAAAATAAAGAAATAGATTAATTAACAAATAAGGTAGTTTGGCAAATACCGGGAAAAGTTAAATAAAAACTGGAAAAAAAATTAATTTCATTTGCGTGACATTAATGCCCAACCTCCGCGATATGTGATTGGTTACTTRTCTCTGCAGTTGATTGGGTTTCGTGATGCATTTATATTCATACAAATGATAAGTTATCAAACTATAGTTGCCTGTAGCAACACGAGTATGGTATAATATGGCCACGATAAACTTGCCACCTTCTTTAACGATTCTGTGAAAGTCAGTYTTCTTCGACACTCGGAAAAAATTACAGAAATAATGACGGTCAAAGTTGAGCTGCAGCATCTTTTGGGATTGGCGATCGGTACGCCTGAAATTGGTGCAGTCAATTTCAACATCTTACATGGTGTTGTGCGTGAAATTTTGAAACATTTAGCGATACACAACAAACCTATAGAACTTGAAGAAGATGGACAATTTCGAGCAGCCTATGGTATCGTKAAAACAAGTGTAGACGGCGTAACGACTGATAACAAGAACGCTTCGGATAAAGTTTCTCAAGACACGAAAGATGGACAACCAGGTAGCGTTACTACAGGTTTCGAAAAAACTATTTTGCCAGGCCAGTTTGGAAATTTTGAATCYAAGCTCTCGGAAATCGAGAAGAAACTCGAAATGCTTGACGATTTACCGAGTAACAGCGACATTCTGCAGAGAGCCAAGCAGAAGAAGGATGGTAGAACTCCAGTTGGGGATATATGGCAGTTTATAAACATTAATCGCCGACTAGGAGCAACCGAGACAGGCATCGAAAAGGTAAACTTTCCTTTGTATGTAACTATGATTACAGTCTTTTGTATGTAGTAATTATCAGTGCTTTGGCATTTAGTTTCTCACTAAAAATCTAAAAACCGTGTAATAATAATTTTCATGTAATGACAATGAAAAAATCGATCGGATTTGCGCTTCCAAAGCCAAACAAACTTTTACCAGCAAACATGGTTGGTGCACATGATGTTGAGACATGCCGTTCAGCCTTTGCTGCCAAGATTCTCGTTCAATATGTTCGATATTTGTAACATTACAAGTTGGTGTTTACACAAGGTGAATCTATATTTGTAGTTAGAGATTGGGAGATGTTTTCTGACAAACTTAATAAATAGCCGCCGGTACATTACGAGCTTATTATCTCGCTTGAGATCTGCTATTTTCTCTTCTTATTTATACAAGTTTTAGAAATGAAATTGTGATTTACTCCTGATTAATTTTYCATAAATTATAATTTCAATTTTATCTAAGAAAATAAACTTTTTACTTTTCGATATTTTTTCGTACAAATGTCTCAGTATTTTTKAAGTTTTCAAATATTACTATGTTTCGACTGCCTTTTTGTAAGTAGAAAATGCCATCAATTAATTATTGATGGTAGTATTTTTGTTACTTTAGTCTGCCCTTGCAGCAGATGGGAAGATAGAATGTTCTGGAACTCTTTTTTTTTTTTCACTCCAGAAACTTGTGTTCAATCTACATTTCAAGGTTAAGCTATTTCATCCTGGTGACTAATGTTTATGTTTTCGTCTGTAACTAGACAGCAGTTGGGGATATTCCTCTTTGTTTGTCACTTATTTCATGCTAAATAAATAAAGGAATATTTATTATTAAAGCTTCTAGAGATTTTTCAATATTTTGAAATACTGTTGAAGTATTGTTGCCATAGTGAAAGGTAATATTTAGGATTTCGCTTTATTTACGCTATGGGGATTTTTTTCGACAAAAACCAAGASAAAAGACTTTTAAGCAAGACAAAAGTTTATTTACAAAAAGGAGTAAAGTGAATAAGTTTTTAAAATTATCAAAAAAAAAAAAAAGATGTAATCATATGTCCAAAGAGACCTTAGAGAAAAGAAGAAAATATGAAAAAAAGAATAGACATATTTGTCCCTATTATCTCTGTCTCTGTGCACAGAGTATGAGCAACTCATTATTATTACTGATTGAATGACTGAAATGGGAAATTACTTTCATTGTCAAAACTATTATCTTGAGAGATTTATTGAAAAAGAGACTGTTACAGTAAGCCATTCTAGGATCTTGGCAAGAATTTTAGACCCCCTATATATTAAACGAGGGTTGTGGATTTGTGACAGGCTAACTGTAAAAAAGAAAACTATTTTGTATTGGATATTTTTTAAATGGGGGGTTTGTATTGTCATTTATGAAGTTCGATTATGGTTTAGGGGGTTTAGACTAATGTAACCCCTCTAGATCTGCCCCTGCTGTCATGCAGGTGAAGATCAGAACATAGTTGTTTTCTTGGTAACAAATAGAAATAAATGAAGGTTTTTTCCTGCTTTTGTTTAAATATTATATTCAGACTGAAGAGACATGAAAAATTAAATAAATTAAATTAAATTAGAAAGTTAAATTCAATTAATACAAGCTGAATTTTTTGAAGAGATAGAAAATGAGTGTGCCTGCTATGTTGAGTTATACAAGCACTTGGGAAATTGTGTGAGCCCTCTCTGGCTCACGCAATTTCCCATGTGCTTGTATAACTCAACATAGCACAAGTAAGGGGAGTTTTCTATCTCTTTTATGAAATAACTAAGATATAAATAACAATTAACTGAAAAAAAATATTAAAAAAACACTTGCGTTGCCGATGTCATTTCCTCATGATCTATGTTGAGTTATATAAAATGGTAATTGACCAATCAGAGTGCAGGTTTTATCTTAGTTATTTTATAATAATAATTATTGTACACTTTATCTGTCATGTAGTGAAGGGCTGATATTTGTTATTAATCATTKTATCTAATTAATTTATTTCCCCTTTGTTTAATAATCAGTTAAGCAGTTTGCTGGACAGTATGATGTCTGAGGTGAATGATATCAAAGAA